CCCAAACCAGGCTGGGATTCTATGATTCTACGTGCATGGCCCCTCCATGGGCACCTCAGGGGGCTCTGCGCACAGGATGGGGGTCCCTGGGTGGGACGTGTGGGCACCACCAGACCTTTCCCCTCCAGAAGCACCTTTGCTGGAGGAGCAGCTCATTCACCTTTGGCCGGAGGCAACAGCTTGTTTGTGAGCAAGGAGCTCGCTGGGCACTCGGTGTCCTGGCCAAAAGGCTCTTGCTCAGCATTTTTGGCCACTGGATGGGAAAATAAAGGTCATTGTCTCCCCTCTGCTGAGAAACCTTTAATAAGGGGCAGAGGAACCTGGCTACAGCCTCTTGCCCTGCTGAGCCAGGGGGCAACCTGGGGCAAAGACTGAGATTTGGGAGGTCGTGGGGTGCACGCTGGTTTTAATTTGGGAGGCTTTGGGGGGGATTTAGGAGGCTCATTCTCACCGCTGTGACAAGGACCTGGTCATACCCATGGAAACAAAACCCCAGCACCGACTTTGGCTCCTTTCATAACCCAGCTCCCCACGGTACAAAGGGCGCAGTGTTTCCCCAGGAATGAGGAAGGGGTTAGAGGGGGTCCCATGGGGACCTAGGGCTGGTGCTTCGGCTGTGTCGCCCCTGAACATCGCATGGCGCTTCCATTCCTGCCCCAAACTGCTACCGAGGCCATCGCAGGGGGGTTCTGTAGAGCTTTATAGGGATAACACACGGAGATGGTTTATAGGCATCTGCACAGCCCGTGCTCCAGCTTTGTCTCCCTGTTTACCAGGGCTTAGGGAGACATCACACCTCCTCAGCACCCATCCGCTACAGAAAACAGCAAGTAAATGGATTGCCTGGTAAATACGTGCTCTCAGAGCAAAAAGGAAGGCTTAAGGGGATGGGATGTCTCATGGAGCCTTTGCAGCCCCGCACTGGGAGAGTGGGGCTGGACAGCCCTTCCTGGGGCCGCTACAACCCCCAGGGGATTGCTCCAGGGATGGGATGGGAAGGAAAAGGGAAACAGGGAGGAAAAGGGATAAAATGCCCTGTGCAGGATCTTGCTGCAGGAGGCAGGGTGGGAAGCAGGTGAGGGCAGACCCACTTGGAGGGACACCCCATGCTAGGCAGGGGTTTGGGCTTCAGAAGCCCAACTCAGGGAGAAGGTGGCTCCTGTCTGGAATGGATGAGGCGATGGCTCCTTTTGGGGTGACCCCCTTCAGCTTTAGAGGTCATCCCTAGCTCATGGAAGAGCACTGCCTAAATACTGGGGCTCCCCACAGGGCCGGGCATGCTGTTCCCATCGGATGTGCTTTGCCGGGTGAGCTGGGAGCTCATGATTCTGAAATGAGGAGAGCTCAAAACCTCTTGGGTTTTAAACACCCCATTTTCTCCTTACTGAGCCTCTGGCACAGTCCTACGGCTCCTGGACGTGGAGTCTTAATCAAAACCAAATGAGTTACCGCAGGGACGTGTGATGAGTTGGTGCAGAGGCAGGAGGGGAGCCCCAGTTTCTGCCCCGCTCCGTCCCCACCGAACTATTCCAGAGGCACCGATGCTCCCTCCCACCCTCAGGACTCAGCGCTGGCTGGTGCCCGTTACCCGGTCTCGGTACGCCCTCAGCTGGTCACAGAAAGTGCTAGAAAAGGGAAGAAAAAGACTTCGTCTTATTTTGCTCATTGCCCCTCAGCACCCATCTGTTGTTAGTCGGACCCACAGGGCATGGAAACTGGGCCCGCTGCCTGGGAGGGGATGCTGGTACCTAGGGAATGCTGGTTCCCAGGGCTACCAGCATCCCCTGGGTACCAGCATCTCCAGGGTACCAGGGGAGAGAGAAAAGGGAGTGAAAAGTGACCCAGGTCCAAACATGAGACAGACGTGGAGCTGCTGGAGCGAGGCCAGAGGAGGCCCCGGAGCTGCTGCAAGGGCTGGAGCAGCTCTGCTCTGGAGCCAGGCTGAGAGAGCTGGGCTGGGGCAGCTGGAGAAGAGAAGGCTCCTCAAGGGGACACCTTAGAGCAGCTCCAGGGCCTAAAGGGGCTCCAGGAAACCTGGAGAGGGGCTTTGGACAAGGGATGGAGGGACAGGACAAGGGGAATGGCTTGAACCTGCCAGAGGGGAGACTGAGATGAGCTCTTGGGCAGAAGCTCTTCCCTGTGAGGGTGCTGAGGTGCTGGCACAGGGTGCCCAGAGAAGCTGTGGCTGCCCCATCCCTGGCAGTGTTCAAGGCCAGGTTGGACACAGGGGCTTGGAGCAACCTGCTCTAGTGGAAGGTGTCCCTGCCCGGGGCAGGGGTTGGGACTGGAGGAGCTTTAAGCTCCCTTCCAACACAAAGCGTTTTATGAATTGATGCAGTGGCTCACTAATGATTTCATTACTGTTCTGTGCAGCCTGACAGAACATGTATCACTATTGCTGATACACCCGCAGCCACTGCAGGGAGGTCAGACCTCAGCCACCATACACAGTTCGAAAATAACCCCTTTGTACCTTGGCTTTTCATGTGTCTTGCCCTTAAGAACCCACTGGCATCTCCCACCTGACTGGTACCAAATGGTCCTCATGCCCCGAGCAGCCCTTTCCCCTGCACTCACCCCCTCCTCCTGCAACACAGGGCTCTTTGAGCCTTTCAGGGGGGGTTTGCCTACCTCCAGCCCAGCCCCATGGTGCAAGTTCCTGTAAGGGGAGGATGTGAGACCCCAGGTCTGAGCCCTGAGCTTATGTTTCTGTAGAAAGCCAGATTCCCAAGGAGGATTTCTGCCCAAGAGGGGGTGGAAGAAGCCCATAGGGGTGCAGGGTGAGGAGATGGGGGATTTTAGCAGCAGCTGGTCCACCCAGGTTTCATAGACCACATGAAACACAACCAAGCATCCAACCCCAGAAGAAGGACCCCATTGTCGGTGTAGTGAGCAGCAGAGGGGCCTTGGCTAATAATGACTTTCACAAGCATAGAGGGAAGATGAAACCAAGCAGACTAGCTGGGCACAAGTGTTTGTTGAGCTTCACAGGATTAAGTTAACACAGAGTTAATGAAAGAGCTCAGAGATGGAAGAACAGGACTCCAAGAGGGCACATGGGGGACTTGTCAGTGCTTAACCCAGGATCTCTCCTCCCATCCTCCCCAAACCCCATTTCTAATGATACAGAAGACCCAGCCCAGACATGAAACTTTTAATGACTGCAGATCCGGGAGGATGAAACCTGAAACACCAGGTTGAGGTATTGGACTGGAGAAGGTTGCTGGCACTGAGCATAGGGGGACACTGGGCATTTCCAGGGCACACAGGGGATGCCACTGGGCTTCAATGCAGCTCTCGTGCATCAACACACACCAGATAAGCAGCTTCCTAGAAGGGCAAATCTCCAAGTGCCCCCTGGAATGTGAAGGAAAAATGATGATAAAACCCCACAAGCAAATAAAAGGACAACCCAGGAGAGGCTGAAGCCCCAGATCCAGGCTTGGACCCACAACCTGCAAACAGGAGCATGGGATGAACTCAGGACTGTGCCTCAGCTGTGCTCTAACCTGTGTTTGGGCACAGGTTTATGGAAGCTGGCGACACCCCCAAGCCCCCCAAATTCACATCTCCTCCACAGGCAGCTCCCTCTCCTGGTCATCAATTGCCTTTGTGCAAAATAACCCACAAGGGCAGGATTTGCTCCACATCTTAATGCACAAACTCAGACAGGGGTGATCCCAGAACTGCAGGGTGTCAGGACAAGGCACTGGTGAGACAGGGAATGGCCAGTCAGGGCCCTGGGAATGGCTCTTTTGCCCTTTGGCGACTTGCTCTGATGCTGAGCACACAGTTCCTGTGGAACAACAGGGACAGACACTCAGCTCTAACCCTGCTGTTCGCTACTTTGAGACCTTCTGGGGTGGCTTTTGAGCCTGGCCTCATGTGCCTTGGTACCTCCTTGGCAGCTCCAGTGCCTAAAGGCGCTACAGGAAACCTGGAGAGGGGCTTTGGACAAGGGCCTGTAGGGACAAACCACTCTATGATTCTATGACCGAACATGAGGCTCAGCAGAAAGCAAAGCAGGAAGGCAAAGGGGGAGGTGAGAGTAACTCAGATGTCATAGAAATCCACATGGGCACCAGAGGGGAAGGTGTCCTCCTCCAGGAGATTCACCAGCTTCTGGGCTGACACGGTGCAGTCTATCAGCTGCCTGTTCTCCTGCAGGCTTTGGAAATGCTGACGCATCTCAAGGTCTCCAGTCTTAGTCCGGGCCAAGAGCTGCATGTCCGTGTCCAGGGGACCTGGGGAAAGAGCAACCAAAACTAAATCACATGAGGAGGAAGCAAAACCTGGGGCTCATTTTCCCTCTGTACCTGGCTTGGCTGCAGGAATTTTATCCATAAAGCCAGGAGAAAATTGGTGAATGAGCTCCCCTCCTCACCCGGAGCATAGTTGAGGACACGGATATCCGGCTCCTCGAGTGCCAGCACTTGGAACATCATGTCCCGGGAAGCCTTCCCACTGCAGTACAGGGCCCAGCTCTTGAAGGGCTTCAAGGCACAGAGTGAGGAGATGTTCACCACGGTCCTGCTGGAGCCAGGCCTCTTCCCAAAGGCTTGCAGGGCACTCGAAGTGAGGCAAAGCGCTGAGGTGACATTGAAGGCAAAGTAGCTGTTGATCTCATCTGGGTCAGTGAGATCCAGGAAGGATCTGGAGACATCTCCCAGGGAACCTAAGAAGAAAGGAAATGTAAGTCAAGAGCAGCCTTCCAAAATCTCAAGGGAGCTACAAGGATGCTGGAGAGGGACTCTTCATCAGGGACCGGAGCAATAGGACCAAGGGGTGATGGCTTCAAACTGAAACAGGGGAAGTTCAGGTTAGATATAAGGAAGAAGCTCTTCCCTGTGAGGGTGCTGAGGCGATGGCACAGGGTGCCCAAGGAAGTGGTAAATGCTCCACCGCTGGCAGTGCTCAAGGCCAGGCTGGACAGAGCCTTGGGTGACATGGTCTAGCGTGAGGCATCCTGGCCCATGGCAGGGAGTTCTAACTAGATGATCATAAGGTCCTTTCCAACTCAAACCATTCTATGATTCCATAAGCAGCAATGCACTATGGCCCTAGCAACAAACCACCCCTGCTCTGCTCCCCCACTTCATTAATTTAATACAATAACAGGACCCAGGCAGGGTGAAATCCCTCCTGCTCCTTCATCTATTTACTCGTTTTGCCTATTTACTGGCACCCAAAGCACGGATCAAGCCTCGGTGTAGGACCTAGGGCGGGCTCACCGGGGCTGAGCCCCGTTGCCCCTGGAGGCAGCGAGCCCGGAAGCGGGGAAAAGGACGGAGGGTTCCCGTTGTTACCGGCGTTATTGACGAGGAGCAGGCGGCCGGGCGGCCCGGCGGAGAGCACC